CACGTGAGGGAGGCTGGGTAGGGGGGCGGCTGGCTTGCTTGGCGCTGCCGTCGAGAGGGTCCCCCCGGCGGGGCAATGCCGGTCGGGCCCAGCCTGCCCGTGACCCGAGGGGCTGCCCTTCCGGGCCGTTGGTTCTTTGCAGTCTTTGTGGCTTGTCCCGGTTTGTCCCTGACCCCGGGGGAGCCGCCGCGCCTCGTCATTGTGCTGTGTCACCTCAGAACGGGCTGTGCCGGGGCCATTACTCAGCAGCTTTCTGCGATTTCTCAACCCCCAGGCGGCCCCTGGTAACCTGGCAGGCGGGTTCTGGGTCAGGAGGCACAGGCGGCCCTCCTGCGCCCAGTAGGTGACGGGGCTCACCGCAGCTCAGTGTCTTCGTGGAACCCAGCTCCTCCGGAGGGACATTCGGAAGATCTGGGTCTGGCTTTGGGGCGCATTGAGGCGACGGAGGAGGGAGGTGCTGCTGGGGAGGGGAGGAGGGTCAGGTCGAGTCTGGGCTCCCTGCCAGCTCCCCAGGAGGCCCCGGGCAACTTCCAGGTACTGGCAGAGACCCTGCAGAACCCTCCCCGGTGCCCTTTCTGGGGCCCTGGCACTTTGTTCTGAAGTGCAGCTGGAGGCTTTTGGGGGGCACCCAGAGGCTCCCCAGACAGCTCCTTTCCAGGGGCTGTCCAGGCTCCAGTGCAGGGTGACTTGCCCCTGAGTTAGGGTGTGGCTGGCGCCCAAGGGGGGGGAGACCTGTGGCCCCGTGTGTGCATATACTCTGTGTCTGGGGAAACGGAGCAGCAGGAGGGCCCCTCTGCTGAGCCACACACCGAGCCTGACGCAGTGGACCCATTTGAGGGATGGAAGCGCCTCCTCTCCCCCCTCATTTGCATCTTTGGTCTTCATGAAGTATACGGTGCTGCGAGCTTTGAAGGAGCTGCCCCAGCCTGATCCCAGGCCTCCAGGCGCAGAGGGCGAGTCCAGGTTGCCAGCAGGCTGACAAGCACGGGTAACCGGGACCATTGTTCAGAGACAAGGGACGGGTGCCTGGAGGTGCGCTCAGGCCCTCCGCGTTCAGGCTCCGCAGGGGAGCCCCAAGCTGTGGGGCAGAGCTGGCAGTGTGGAGGGTCAGGGCGTCTCTGTGGGTGAGTCTGCCTGCTCTGGCGAGTGCTGCACTTGCCACAGGTAGGGGCAGAGCAGGGGGCATTCAGACAGGGCTGTGGAGTTTGAGTGGATCTCCTGGGACCCGATGGGTTGGTCTTACTGGATGGAAGCCGTGCCAGGCTGGGCCCACAGCAGTGAGATGGGTCAGGAGCTGGGGACAGGGCAGGAGGGGCTCACTGGGAAGCCTTGGCCACGTACTCAGGGGCTCAGACTCCCATCTGGGAGGTAGGGACACGGATATGGTGGCGTTGTCGCCAGAGGAAGGTCAAGGTCACTCTCTAGATGCAGTGGGAGCTGCACTTGGTCCTCACTGGTGTAGGTTGAGCGGGGGTGAAGATCTGGGAACTCGCATCAGGTTCTGTGCTGCGTGAGCCCGTGAGGAAGGGACCCCGCCTTGCTCCGAGGAGGTGCTGTGATGGTGCCTGGGGGCATGTAGGCCTTTCCCGGAGAGGAGGAAGGACAGCAGGGGTTGAGGCCGCAGACCCACTGTGTCGGTGAGGACCAGGCCCCAGCAGAGGCTGCGGGTGGCGAGGAGGAAGATGGGATACAGCGGGGGAGGCAGGCTTTGCAGAAGGGGTGTGTCTCCAACCAGAGGCCGCTCAGGGCACGGGGGAGCAGGAGGAACAGGAGGCCAGGCAGAGCTGGGGGTCAGAGGCTCAGGGCGGGAGGGGCAGAGAGACAGATCTGCCAGTGGAGGGAGCCCTGAGGCCCAGGGTCTGCGGGCAGGACCCGGTGGGTGCGTCTGCAGGGCCCCCCATCGCTGTGGTTGAATTGTGTCCTCCAGAAGGTACGTCTGAGTCCCACACCCAAGTGCCCGTGGCCGTGGCCTCATCTGGAAACCTGGTAGGTCCCTTCCCTGAGGTCTCCCCTTCTGTGGTTCCAGTCACCGGCAGTCTGAGGCACAACAAGAGGGTAAGCACGGGATGGTGCTGTGAGAGGCCCACGTAGCTCTCGTGACAGCCTGGTATTTATTTTATTACGAGGTATGCTTGTCAGTTTCTTACTGTGCTTAATGAATCAGTTAAACATTGTCCTCGGGATGCACGTGTAGGACGGAAACAGTGCCTGCAGGGCCTGGTCCCTTGTAGGTGGGATGGGGTGGGGACAGCGAGGCTGTGCACACCCTCTGGGCCATGTGGGGGGGGGACTTGAGCGTGGTAGTGGGGCGTGGCCACCACTCCCCTTCCACCAGTGCTGCTTGTTTTGAGCGGGGCAGTTGCACCTCTCCTGGAGCAGTTGGATGAGGTGTCACTTGTTGGACACAGCCCAGGGGACTTTCTGACACACAGGGCTTGGCAGTGGCCTGGCCAGGTGGAAGGCTTCCGAGGCGAGCGCCGACCCCACAGCAGGTCTGATGAGGGTCTGTGGAGGTGTGGTTACTGGGGCTGTGCAGAGACTCTGTCCCATGCGAGGACAGGAGGAAACGGGGCTGAGACCAGCTGGGGACAGACAGGGGTGGTGGTGTGGCTCCTTGAAGTTGTATTCAGCAACACCCTGTCGTGTACCAGGCGTCAGCAGGGGACTGAGGGGCTGCAGCCAGCCGGGGGACAGGGCTGGGCCACACAGAGAGGTCACAAAGGGTGCACGAGGGAGAACCAGCATGCTGGAGGTGGGCAGCAGGAGGCAGGCGCTGACCTGACAGGCCACACGTCATGCATCCTTGCCAAGCCTCCCGTTGAACTGGCCATGACTCTGGCTGGGTAGGGAGTACGGGCCCATGGGATGTGTCCTGGAGCTCCTGCAGCCCCAGCTGCCTCCGAGCCCCCTGCAGATGGCGCAGTAGGTTCAGTTGCACCAAGAGCCAGACCCTCCACCGCACCTTCCCTGAACATTTGTGCCTGGGCTTGGGAGCTTAGCGATGTCCTCTGGTTTGGCGACCTGTGGTCTTACTTCAGCCGCCCATAACAGCTTCCCTATCCCGAGGGGAGGCTCTGGGGTTACTGCTTGAAGCTCTGGGGTGGGGACTTGGGAGGGAAGGGGCCCCTGTAGGAGGGCAGCCCTGGCCTGCAGGAAAGGGTCAGTGACAACCCTGGGAGGGGCTGGCCCTGCCCGGTCATCGTGGCCTTGGTGCCTGGCACAGAATTGCCTGTGACTTCCTTGCTCTTGAAATCACCTTCCTGGAACATTTTTTAAATAGTCAAGCATGTTTGCTGGGTCAAGTTGTAACAGACGATTAGATATTTAAACTTTGAGCCAGGCACGGTGGCTCACACCTATAATTCCAGCACTCTGGGAGGCTGAGGTGGGAGGATTGCCTGAGTCCAGGAGGTTAAGGCTGTCATGAGCTGTGACCATTCCACTGCACTCCAGCCAGGGTGACAAGAGTGAAGCTGACTCAAAAAAAAAATTTTTTTTTTGAGGAGAAGCAGCATGAGTGGCACTAGCGGCCACTGGCGTCCAGCCTGAAGGCGCCTGTCCTGGGGGAGGAGGCTGAGCCTCTCCCTCCCTGCAGGGCTGCAGGGCAGGGACCTCCCCCAGCAACTGTGAGCCTTCTGTGCTTGGTCTTCTCCAAGCCCAGGCAGCGCCTCCTCCCAGGCTGAGGCCTTGGCGGCTTGTGGCCCATGGGGTATGGGGTGACAGGTGTCCCGTTTGCAGGCTCCGCCTTGGACCTTCACCTTAGCGATGTGAACATCGCTTCCCTGGAGAAGGACTTGGAAGAGCAAGACGGCCGTGACCTGGGGCCACCAGGTGAGGGCACTGGGTCCCCAATGCTCCAGTGAAGCCTGCCTGGGGTGGGTAGGCGGAGGAATTCCTTGTCTCCTGGAACCTGTTGCTGTCCCCTCCCTGGTGCCGCTCTCTCCTGCCTGCATCTCAATCTGCCACATCCTCAGTTTACCTCCGTTTTAGCGCAGCAACCCCTGCAGAGACTGGCAGGGCTCTTCAGGAAGCACGAGTCCACATGCGTACGTTGCTTAAAGACCAAGGTGCTAACCTCCTAGTCCAAGGGGCTTCCTTCAGCCTGAAAGCTCATCTCTTTCTTCTAACTTTAAAAGACAATAAACTATTTCAGGGGACCCTAAAAGTGCCGGGAGCACGGTGCTTGCAGCCACGTTGCCCCTGCAGGGCCCCGGCGGGTGTCTGACCTCTGCTGGGACCCACAGTGGGCCACCCACCCTCGCCCCCGGTTGAAGTCCTCTGTGAACACAGCTTCTCTGTGCCATGGCTGCCTGGGGGCCTCGTGGATGCCACACCCATCATGGTAGCTGGGCCTGGTCCCACGGCCGTGGTGTCGGTCTCCATGGCTGCTGCGGGTCAGGCATGGCCAGCTGGGCACCTCCCGCTCTTCACACGCCCTCCGCCCCGCAGGTCCCAGGTCACTGACTGGCTCTGCACCTGTGGCCATCCCGGGCTCCCTGCCCCGCTCGCCGTCACTGCACTCGTCATCCTCCCTGTCCACCTCGCCACTCAGCTCACTGTCCCAGTCCCTGCCGGGGCCACTGGTCTCCTCCACCATGACGCCACCCCAACAGCCGCTGCCCCTGCGCTCAGAGCCGGGCACGCTGGGCTCCTCCGCCTCGTCCTACAGCTCCTTAGGTGAGTGCTCCAGGCCCTCCGGGGGCTTCTCTGGCCTTCATGGGGAACCACCCAGACACTGTCATGACCGTAACCTCACACCCGCTGGCGCAGGGGGCAGGATGTGAATGACCATGCAGCAGCCATGTGCTGTCGGTCGCCGGGACGGTGCCAGAGCCTGCTGCTGGTGTTCCCTTTCCACTAAAACTTGTTACACAGAATTGGCCAGGCACAGTGGCTCATGCCTATCATCCTTGGAAGGCAAAGGCAGGAGAATTGTTAGAGTCCAGGAATTCCAGACCAGTCTGGGCAACATAGCCAGACCTCATCATACAAAAAATAAAAATTTAGCTGGCTGTGGTGGCGCACGTCTATAGTCCCAGCTACTCTGGAGGCTGAGGTGGAAGGTCACCTGAACCCAGAAGGTCAACGCTGTGGTAAGCCGTGATCACACCATGGTTCTCCAGCTTGGGTGACAGTGAGATCCCAACTCAAATGTCTACAGATATATATAAGAGATCTAACACTGACAAGTGTCTCAGCTGTACCGATGTGGCACATACACATCACCCCGTGTCACCATGTGACCCCAGCTCTCTGGGGCTCCTGGGGCCACAGGATTTGGGAACCACTGCTCCCCATGGTTCAGTTGTGAGCACTCTGGATTCCGTTCCTTTTTGGTTCAAACTCTGGTGGAAGGCAGAGATCTGGGGAGACCAGGACAGGTGCCACCATCACCACGGAGGGAGCCAGGTCTGGGGACGGATGGGCGACACTTACGTGTCCCCACACAGCAGGCGGTGTGGCCTGCAGGCTGTCACCTCCCTCCTTCACACTCAGGTCTGAACGGTGTCCCTGGGAGCATCTGGGACTTTGTTTCCGGCAGCTTCTCTCCCAGTCCGACCCCCGTCCTGAACGCCGGCCCTGCCTCCTCCAGCACGAGTCCCAGTGGCACTGAGCTGGCCCGGGTCAGGCGGCAGCTGGAAGAGGCCCGGAGGAAGATCCGGCAGTGGGAGGAGTCCTGGCAGCAAGTGAAGCAGGTGAGCTGCAGAGGGAGGGGG